AATACTCATTCTTGAAAGCTCCTTCAGGAGAGCAGAAGAGGGAGAGGAGAGGTGGTAACACAGTGGTATGTGAAGAGGGAGCATGAGATAGGCGCCTGTGCCTGGGGAGCCCCATTTGTGCCCCACCAATTACTATTCAGAAGAGCAGAAGAGGGAGAGGAGGGGTGGTAACACAGGTGGTGGAATGGGAAGAGGGAGCACGAGACAGGTGGCTGTGCCTAGGGAGCCCCATTTGTGCCCATGCATGGCAAGTGTCCTCCCTCTCACTCTCCCAGTCATTCCAGCTACTAGTGGGAGCAGTAATTGCACCCCGCACTTGGGGCATCTGCTCCACTTGTGCCCAGCACTTTGGGCATCCAGTGTTGGGGGTGAAAGCCCTGTACTCTCGTGCTCATGCTCCTTCTGATACTAGCGCTCCCTCTGGCTACTGATAAGTTAAAATGCTGCTTGTGAGTCGAGTTTTCATATTGTTGTTGAGTGTCTTCAAGTCATTTCTGATTCATTGTGACCCTAAGGCACAGGGTTTCCTTGGCAGAATATGTTCAAATCAGTTTTGCCCTTGCTTTCTTATGAGGCTGAGAGCATTAGCCTCAAACCAACAGCATCCTATTCTTGTGAACAACATATTGAAGTGACAAACAATACATAGAGGCTCTCAGTGCTGCTACTCAGTAATTTTTTGTGGAGGAACTTTGTGACATATTGAGATCACATTTGTATTCTAAGGGGTACAGTTTAGAACTAACCTTACCAATTAATCTGTTCTTCATGAAAACTAGATCTACGTATCTTTTTCTCTATAGAGAATCTATAAAAATGGAGCACATGCTTATAAATGTTGTATCTGTATCCTCCACTTCTACAACTCTACATTTCTCTTATATATTCAAATATCAGTCTTTATTTAAGGAGAAGGTATTTCGTGTGATTGAAGCACTCTTCAGGTATTTTACTTTAGAAGTAATTAAAAGTGCAAGAAGGAAACATGCTGGCCATTGACGATTTTCCAGTTATTGTTTTCTTCATGTGAAAAGTGACCAGACTGAAACTGATGACTTCTGGCTTGCATGAAGGTGCTCCATGTGATTCTGAACTCTGATTTTCTATCATTCTGTTCAAATTGGAGAGCCTCCTCACAGCCAAAGATATTTTCTCTTTTAGACTGGTTGACTTTCACATGAGTATATTGATGATAGAAAGGGAAGGGCCTAGCATGTTTTCCCCTTTATATATTCAGTTAGCTCTAAAGGAGGATTTCTGAATAGGGTTTCAACATACAGAATCCTGGCAGGATTGTGCAGACTCATTGCATCTGATATCTGTAGGATACTTTCTACCTCAGAAATGAATTCTACAGTATTGTAATGTACTTTCTGTCCTTGGCCATAGACTACCCTTTAAAATCACTAGAAATTGGGAAGAATGACATACATTGCTATGTAAGTATACTGCATTAAACCCATTGTTAATTCTAGGTGGATAGAAACATGGGAAGCTACGTTCTTGCAGTTCTTGCTGTTTTGTATTGTGCATTTAATGTTTTCTAAATATGTTACTATTTTCATGAAACTTGGGATCTTCTATCAACATCTGGAACTTTCATAATTTAATTTTACTCACAAAGCCTTCAAAATTATGTTTGTGGTGATGATACATAGCTTTTTTCTTTGTTGTTGCTTCTAGCTGCTGTCACTTCATTTAGGCAGCATGTGCGAGCTGGAGCTGCCTAGATACTAAAACTGAAATATTAACACATTCACAGTGGGACTTCCATTATATGGTGATGTGATCATTTTCAGAGTTTGTAGCTCTCATTGAAAATATAATCATATTTTTTTCTGTTTTGAACAGCCCTATATTAGATTTGCAGCAGAAGTTCACAAACAGCTATGGGACTACCAAAGAGATGGTTTTACATACTCTAGATTGACATTTTAAAAACCTGTTGTTTGCATTCAGGTGCTGTAAAATGCTTTGAGAATGTTTAGCAGTTAGTTAATAAAACAGAAAGCCCAGCATGAAAATAAACACATATCCATTATTAGTGAATGACAGCAGGCGTCGTTTACATACGGAGGAAGCAAAACTAATATAGTCCTTTTGGAAATGCATTGACAGAGTGTACAACACAATTATCAGCCACAATTCAGTATATCTGAACAGTGTGAACTTACACAGTAAACTTTCTCTATGTTGTACACAATGATTTGATTGCAGAAGAAAACATCTGCTTGGCAGTAGCTGTTTTATCTCTGTGGAAGGTTTCAAGTGATGTCATCTTTCCTTACTCACACTAGGTTTATTTTTATGTTGGAGTCTCTGTGTGGTGACCTTTTGTGTTGGGGAATAATTATAAGCCTTCAAATGTGTCCTACTGTGAGTGCACTTCTTTAGCACACAATTAGCAACAGATCACTTTGACAAACACAGAAAATAGTATCCATACCTTAATGACATAGTATGCTTATCATTGAGCAAAACTGTGATTCCAAGAATGATCTAAAATAGTAGGTCCTGTGTCTTTGACACAAAATCTGAACCACAGAATTAGTCTGTCTTCATAATCTGTCATTGAAGAATAGCCTGCCATTCCTTAGTGGCATATTAGCCATAGAACACTAATGAGCCATCCATAGCTTGCATTTATTGAGAATCAATGTGCTGAGATGTTTTCTAGATAATCATGGGTACTGTTCTATTATCTGGGAAGAGGTCACAAGGGGATGCTAAAGAGAGAGAAGGAGAGTCCATTTTATAGGGGTGGAGGGTGGGTTGAAGGAGGAAAACCATTTCCCCTGTTATTCCCCCCCCCCCACCCATGTCCCCATCATTTATGTTATGGGGAGGGGAGAGGGGGAATAGCAAATTTTGATATTGCCATTTTATATAATTCCATTGTATAAAATGGGATGAGCATCCATGATATTCATAGGGTGATGGTGGTCTTGGTCTTGGAATCAAACCCCAGGAGATATCAAGGACCCACTGTATAGCATGAATGCTTCATTCATAGCTGCTCTTCTTTTGCCTTGTATTTTTTTAAAAACCTTGTATTCCAGGAACAAACATGTATACAAATGGACATATGATTCTGTCGCATGGTAACATATTGTGGGAAAGCAAAAACATAAAATGAGAGGTGGGGAAAGTTATTATTTTTATTTATACCCTGCCTTTCATGTATATCATGCCGTTCTCACTCTGCAGGGGACTCAAGGCAGCTTACAAATTCTGGCTAACATTCAATGCTGTATCATAGACTTAACAATAAAATCAATATGACATTAAACATACCCCATCAAACTATAAACCATCCAACATATGAGCAAATAAAACACATAATACAATAAAACAGAATAAAACACATAACATATTAAAACCTAAAGTGCTGAGTCTTGATTTTATACTTATTAGTTAGTCCATAGTCATTATCCAAACTGTTGAGGCTGAATTCTATATTAGCAAACAATGCACAAGTATCTATAATGACATAGAACAGAAATGTATGTATGTAAATCTAAACAGACTCTCAAGAAAGTAATATACAACAGTATTCTGTGTTCTCTATTAGCATAACTTGTCTGAGACTTTATAGCATTAAACAAAAATGTTATCAGCACATTATCATAGAGAAATAAACAACAGACTAAAGATAATAAAGTCCATCCTTTCAGTGAAGGAATTCAAAGGTCTCTTATCTTCAAAAGAGTCTTTCTTTTGGCAAGACAGTCTCAAGGAATTCTTCTTAGGCAACACAGTCTTTCTAGGCAACAAAATCTCAACAAGGTCTTCCGGTATGTTATCCTTGTTTCGAACAAATATCTTCCTCAGGGTGTAGACTGTTATAATATTATGCTTAGTGCACTAAATAGGGAGTAGAAATAACATACACAATAGATACATGAAACTCCCAAAATAACATTGCTAGAAAAACATTTTGTAATATTACAAAATGTTTTTCTAGCAATGTTATTTTGGGAGTTTCATGTATCTATTGTGTATGTTATTTCTACTCCCTATTTAGTGCACTAAGCATAATATTATAACAGTCTACACCCTGAGGAAGATATTTGTTCGAAACAAGGATAACATACCGGAAGACCTTGTTGAGATTTTGTTGCCTAGAAAGACTGTGTTGCCTAAGAAGAATTCCTTGAGACTGTCTTGCCAAAAGAAAGACTCTTTTGAAGATAAGAGACCTTTGAATTCCTTCACTGAAAGGATGGACTTTATTATCTTTAGTCTGTTGTTTATTTCTCTATGATAATGTGCTGATAACATTTTTGTTTAATGCTATAAAGTCTCAGACAAGTTATGCTAATAGAGAACACAGAATACTGTTGTATATTACTTTCTTGAGAGTCTGTTTAGATTTACATACATACATTTCTGTTCTATGAATTCTATATTAGCCTATTCCTCGAACATCTGTGTACAGAAGCAGGTCTTTAGTTTTTTTCTGAAGACCAGGAGGGATGTCACTGCCTGATGTCACTAGGGAGTTCCACATCTGAGGGGCCACCACTGAGAAGGTCCTGTCTCATTCTCGCCAGTTGCACTTGTGAAGGAAGTGGGACCGAGAGCAGGGCCTCCCCAGCTGATCTTAAAGCTCTTGTTGTTTCATAAAAGGAGATGTGTTCAGACAGGTAAGTTGGACCAGAATTGTTTAGGGATTTATAGGCCAAAGCTAGCACTTTGAATTGAGTCCAGTAGCAGACTGACAGCCAGTAGAGCTGATGTAACAAGGGTATTGTATGCGCCCTGTACGCCGCTCCAGTGAGAAATCTGGCTGCTGCCTGTTGAACTATTTGAAGCTTCTGGGCAGACTTCAGAAGCAGCCCCATTTTTATCTATTCAAAATGTTGTCTCTACTACCCTAGAGATCCCTCATAATTCCATAAAATAGCCAAATGTTATGAAATGATTGAAGTTTTGTTTTAAAAAACCCATAGAAATTATGTAATGACAGATATATGTATACAATGGCCTTGTCTTTTTAGGATTTGCTACAACAGATGAATTTTTGTATGACATTGAGTTTGAATCTGAAACAGCAAAATCACAGCTCAAATCTGCAGTTGCTGTAAATTTAATGAAGAAAGACCTGGATTTCAAAACTGGAATTATGACTTTGATCTTCAATGTAGTATTTGCACCCTGCAAACCAATAAGGTAATCTGTATGTAGGATAGTTCCAAAGGATTTGCACTCTGCAATTGGTACAAATTCGTAAAATGGGCCCCTCTTTCCCTCACCGGATTCCTCACCTGCTTTGAAAAAACAAAAACGCTTTAATATCATTTTGCTTAGTGAGGTTTGAGCACGTTATGTCTCTGGATTCATGATTAATATTTATAGTATGGCATTTATGTTTATTAATTACACTATGTAACATGTTTTTTGTTCCCGGGTTATAAATGTCATTTCCTAATTGGTTCTATGATAAAAACATGGACAAGGTTTATTAAACTGCAAAAACTTTGTTTTGTGGGACATTTAGCTCATTTTGCTATAGTTTTTCAATGAATATCTCATAGAGTCTCAGCCAATTCAACATAGTTTGTGCCAGCCACAAAACAACAACAACAACAACAACAGCAACAACAACAAAAACAAAGTTGTCTGGAGTATGACAACTACTTTCAAAGTAAGTACTGCACAATTAAACATGAAATAACTTTCAAACCAGGAACCGAAAAAAAAATCGAATTTTGTTACGTAGGGTTATCTATGAGTGACAAAAGCCCTTTAGATGCTGTTACCTGATTCTGAGGTTTAGTACCAATTCTCTTCATATAGTGAACAGACAAGACTTAACTCTTTTATATTCTGAAGTCTGAAAATCCTTAATCAATACCAACTTCCTATTTTTTATAGTGTAGTAGGCTGTAATGCCTTGGAGAAAGTGTGGGGTGATTTGTTCTGGCCTTCCGTGTTCTGGAAAACCTGTTGGAGATGCAAAGACCCTCATTATTGATTTTACTCATTATCATGCAGAAGTAATAATTACTGCTTTTCACTGTCTCCAGAAAATCTTATGATGTGATATACGGTGCAGACATAGCATAAACATTGATGTATGGAAGTTAGTTTGTCAGGCATCATATATACTTGACATTGTCTGAATGTCAGAGGGGCGGCTCCTTGCCCCTGCTTTTGGCCCTTCTTTCCCTTTCCCTTCTCTTCATACCTTTTCTCCTTTATTGTTTATCTCCTCCTTTCTGTATGTTTTTCTTTCCCTTCTTTTTCTTTCTTTCCTTCCCCACCTCCCCCTTTCTCCAGCTCTGAGAGGGCCTGCTTTGTAATATCTCAATGGCAACATGACTCTCTTTGTGGATCCTTCCTTCTTCCCTTCCTTTCTCTCATACATGTCACCTTTCTTTCCCAATGGCGTCATGGATGGCTACTTCACCTGGCAACAGTCAATCCAGTGACACCACAAAGGGACACCTCACCTAATGAGAACCTATGTGCTACAAACAGGCAGATAGATATACTTTGACTTTTAAGAGTAGACTTCTTTTCCTCAGGAGTTTTTCTTTCATGTTAATGTGCCTGCAGTCTTGGCATTATGCTCCTAATTCTGGACTCATAAAAGGTACATGTTCACTTCTCATGCTTGGGTCCTAGAAGGCAATATTAACTATCAGGGTTTCCGAAAATCCTTTCATTTCTCAATCTAGCAATGTTTTCTTCTATAGGGCTTTCAATTTGTATATGAAGCACTTTTTTCCACAAAGTATTCTATATTCATGTCATGCAAAAACAGCAGTGGATGCTTAGGACCACCTTCTATATTGATGGCTATAGCAGCCTGCTTCCACAGAAACGTGTCCTTGACATGACTGCAGACTATATTACCAATGAATAGTGGAAAATGCACTTCATCCAAAAAGTTGACCATTTTGGATAGGCAGTGAATCTAGTTTAATAATGAAAGTCAGCCTTCAGAAGATATGCAATCTAATGAAGAAAATAAGGGAAAGTTTTGATTATGTTAGACTTTGATTTGAACCTAGAAAATACACTTTCAGATCGTTCCTCTGCTTGAAAATTACTGGACATCCTAACTCAAATCATTGTCACTCATTCTCAGTTCCACAATATTTTTCAGTGTTGCCAAGATGAACTTGGCATTTTTAAATAGATAGCAGCAATTCAAAATAACAAAAACACCCATTGTAGCTTCCTGAAGGACACAATTCCATTTCCAGTGAAGTCGGCTAGAGTTGTCACTGATCTTGGTGACAGAATTTTACATTTCTTCAGAAACTGGAACTTAAATCTCAATTACAGAGCTGTCATACTGTTGTCATATTGTAAATATTTTTCTCTTCAACTGCGTGATGAATGAAAATGCTGCCATACAGAAATCAAGACTACAGACCATATATAAGTGCAAAGCAATTACATTGTACCAATTAGTTTGATTCTTCATTTTTCACAGAAACACAGAGGGAAAATAATGTGATATTTAGCTGGCGGCTTCTTCCAAAGTATGAACAAATGTACTATCCTGCCTAAAATAATATCTACAATCTAATTTGGAGCCAGCTATATAACACATTGCAGGTCTACAGAAATAAAGGCTTGCCTCACACCTTGGACATTGATTTATTTGACTTGTGTTTTATTCTGCCTTCTGTTATAATGAATATTTAAAACTTAATTTTGAAGGAATTTGGCAACATTAGTGGTGCAGCGGAGTACAGGAGGCATCTGGAGGTTTCCGGTACTGTTCATCGCTACTGAACCTGAAGTAGATGACATCATTAATATTGAAGCAGTTGGTTTAAACAAGGAATCTGGAGTTAGGTTTCGGCTTACAAGCCAAACAAGGTAAGAATATTAAAGAAAAAACACCTGTGGTCCTTTTTTGCTGGAGCCGAGAACTGAAGAGATGAAATACAGCAACCAGTAACTCTTGGAGTGAAGTTGACATACTAGTGTAGAACTAGCTTGCCATTTGCATAATGGTAAATTCGCTCACAAGGTAAGCCTGCCATTTTATCCAAACACTAGTGTGCAGGTAGGTTTTTCATTCATATTGATGGTTTTATGTTTTTATGATATTTTGTATGAGTTTTGTTTTCATTAATGGTAATGCAATGTATTTTACTGTGTTATAATTTAACTCTGTTGACTGAGCTTGGTTGCCATGTAAACTGCCCTGAGTCTCTTTGGGGAGATGGTGGGGGGATGTAAGAATTAATTTGTCGTTGTTGTTGTTGTTGTTGCTATTTAAAATGTACTGATTATGTTTTAACCATATTCACTCATTATATCTTAACTTTTATAATTTAATTTTTTTATCTTTATTTTTAATTATTGTAAGCAGCCTTGGAACTTTGAGTGAAGTGGGATAGATATGCAATTAAATAAATTAGGACATTTATGGAAAAAGGTGCTATTAGAGATGGATGTGCAGTCTAACACAGACACCATAGGATTATAGAATCATCCATGCATACTTTATTAACAGACATATTTATTTACTCATTGCTTTTTTCTATCTTGCCCTCTGTCTACAGAAAGAGGTGATATGCATTAAAGTAATCTGGCAAATGTAAAACAATGTCAATAGAAAGCATGACTTTTTAAAACAACAAAATGTCAAATCATTTAAAGTTAAAATAGTTAATACAATTAAAGTAGTTTGATCCCAAGCATACAGCTCTGAACATGATCATTCTTTTAATGACAATGCTTCTTTTATCAGCATATACACTATTAGGAGTGTGTGACTCAACAAAAACCATCTTTAGTCCTGTTTCTCTCTCCCCCCTCTACCACCTTGGAGGGGGGTTTCATTTTTGTGCCTGTAAAATTTGGTTCATTGGCACCAGTGGGGAAATTTCAGAGACATTGCAAGCCTCCCAAGTTTCAGAATGTTTCACGAATCCACTGATTTTTGGGAAAGTTTTAAAGTTTTTACCATAATATGTTTTTTTAAAACCCATAAAACCCAAAAGAGAATTGAAGACCCAAGTGCACACCATAAGAGGGGAAGAGAATTGACACAATGAACCAGGCCTCTGATTGGCTGAGAAAGAAAGTGAGAAACACAGAGAAAAACCTCAACTCTCATCATGCCTCGGGAGGAAGCATAGACGCCCCTTCAGTGCTCATGCCACACAAAATGCTGCTGTGAAAGCAAGTTCCCATTTGCTTCAAGTGGGCACTGGGGTGCAGGGAGGTTTCAGGAAGGATCCTCAGGGCTTTCTCTTAGCATACTGCTGGGATGATGGAGCCCCGCCAGAAGTAGCCCTGAGTTATCCCAGTACTATCTCGGCAGCACTCTCCAAACTGCCACCAGGTGGCAGTTTTAAGACCCATCACAAATTTTGCCCCAACCATCCTCTTTTGAACTAAAAGTATCAATAACTATTTTGAAGGCCTGGAAAACTACTTCGGCTACAAGCATTTGCCTACCCCATAACATCTAAGTGCTGAAAGGGGTCAGAGTAAGTTGAGAATCAATGCAATGGTGAAATCAAGAGTAGGAGCAAAAGGGCACACCCAATTTATAGGAAATCACTTAAAGGGGGGAATTTTTGCCATCCAGTTTTAATCCCCATAAACACTATTCATTCCTGTAAAGATGGAAGAAGGGTTTTAAGGAATATAATTTTTAATTGACTCAGAATTATGTAAGTGAATTTCTTTAAAACCAGGTAACTGCTGAGTTAATCAGAGAAGATATTTTAGGAGATTACCGATATGTAATTTGTGAGGACTGGAAAGTTTCATAAATGTAAATTGAATTTTTAATGCCTAGTCATATAAGTAAGAGAGGGAGGGAGAGAGGGCGAGATTGGAAATAAAAGCATCCTCACATTCAAAGGATGCCCTTGGCCATTATTGATTTTCTAAAAAAGAGCTAGCATCTTGCCTTTGTGTATCACAGATGGGCAGTTGTCTCGATTGTCTCATGGCTATCATTGGAGAGGATTCTTTAGAACATAGCAAACGTTTCTGTCACAATGATGAAGCTATCTTGTTCAATGCAGTAGGCTGTTTTATAGTACAAAAGTGAAGTAATTGCATTGGCAATGCTATAATCTCCTGGTAGGTATTTGAAAGTAGCGAAGAGACCTAATGTTCTCAGAAAAGATATAATAAAATCTGAATCATTACAGTTATATAGAAGGAAAGCCTAGGATGGAAACCTGACTTGGCCTCAGAGAAACTGGAGGATGATTACTGCATTATACTTGAGAAGTATTTGGACTACCTTTTCTACATTTCCTTCTACTTTACAGTGAACATGATAATTTATTATGTTTCCATTTTTCCTAAAAGTTCACCCCTTGCCATTCTTTCATTTTTTATGATTTCTGTATAAAAAGTAAAAAAAAATGCTTTTCATAGATACAGGAAGAGAATGAAACATGTACTCATTTTTAGGAATCTAAAGTGCAAAATGTTCAGCTATATGCTAGTTTAGTGCATAGAGGTTTAGGATAGGGATATAGGTGTTTATATATACAGGCTGTCTCCAAGTTATGAACAAGATAAATTCTCTAGGTTTGTTCTTAAGTTGAATTTGTATATAAGTCGGAATAGATACATTTCTTAAGTGTAATTACAAGAATTGGTGAGAAAGCTTCAGTGGAGTCACCTTTTACCCATGACAACTCTTTCAAAAGTGAAAGCCCCCTTTCTGGGGGTAGATTTCTCTCACTTTCTGTTGTCTCACTCCCATTCTTAACTATGAGTTATTTGTAAGTCAGACGTTTGTAACTTGGTTATTGCCTGTACATGTGCCATCTTATATGTTTTTTGAATCAGCTTGATTTTCCTTTCTCTAAAAGCTGACATGGCAAGACACCTAAGAACCACTTTTACCAAGGCAAGATTCTAACAAATTGAATCCGTGGAGAGACACAGCAGATTCAATCATATCCCATACGAAGAAAGGCTATGTATCTGTGGTGCCCCTGAAGTCGAAAATCTGGACCACACTTTACATCAATGCAATGATGTATATGAAAATGAAAGGAAACAATACTTATGGCCTTTAATTTGCAATAAAACAAGTTGGGATACAGCAGTCAAAACTTCATTCTTGTTGGCTAGTTATAACCCCATTCTGACAACACAAGTTGCCCTTTATTTGTTTAAAGCTGCTAAAAGGAGATCAGAGTACATAGATCAAACTGGGGTGCAGTGTAGGGGAGATGAGGATAGTTGATGCATATATCTATGGCTACCTGTATATTTGTATTTTATTTTAAGAGGACTAGATGTATGTTGTATGTTATGTCTGCATTGTTTGTTTTTGATAAGGCCAATTGGCTCATCAATAAAAATTGTTGTTGTTGATTTTCCTTTCTCAATTACTTTATTAAACAGTGCACACAAAACTTCTCCATATGTTATATTTATTTCCCAGAGGAATTCCTACCACATATCACTTATTTTGGCTGTGATCATCTATGCTATGCTGAACAACCATTTTATAGTATTACTAGGAGAATGCCCAACAATATGCTGTTTTATAAAGAACCCTCTTATTCCTTCATCAGTTGAATATTTAGCATAGAAGAAAGTGAACTCAGACCTATTTTTTCTTTTATGTTATTGACTGGATTTTTTCTTTCTTTGCTTCTATTGGTTTTCAACTCTCCCTAGGCTTCCAAGCCAGAAAGTAACATATAAAATAACATCATAAGCACATGGAATTTGAACAGTGAAATGTGGCACTCATTACTGTATTAAGAAAAGAACAACCATTGAAATCTTCCCATCTGTAACAATCTGTTGTGTCATTCTTGCTAGCAGACAACCTCTTTCAGCAATCATGAAACCAGTACACAGATCCTGTTTAGTCTCTTTTTAGGCCTTTAAAATGAGATTTACAAGTATATGACTTTTTTCGTAGAAATCTTCTGCATAACAGCGTTGTTAATAACATCTACTGAGTTGGCATTGTGTACCTCAGATCTTGCACAAATTTTAAGAAGATGTGGGGAAAATAGTGAAATAGTAGTGCCAAGTAAACAGTATGTTTGTGTCTATATTGGTGTTAAAGAACATACAGTATATTAGCGTGCTGCAGTGGTATCAGACTAGAGTTGGCAGCATTTAGGTCTAAATCCCAACTCAACCATAAAAATCATTTATATGTACCTTAGATTTGTTACAGTAATAAAGTGAAAGTTAGATCAAGATATGCTGCCTGTAATCGTGTTAGAACAAACAACACTCTGAAGATAACTTACTATGTTGTTGTTATATTATTGCATTATTTTGAATTACCAGTGTAGTAAATCACGTATGTTATAGGCAAGTGCATTCATTAAGACAGTTCTTAACATTTTGTGTTGTATTTGTGTTCTATGATGTCATTCAGTTGGATACAGAATTAGTATCACAGAATTGCTAATCAATACCAGAGAAAGAATTAGCATATTTTATCTTGTAATCAATTGTGTAAAGCTCCCATAGTGCAGATTAGAACAGAGCTCTGATTTTTTCCCCAGACATTACAATTGAAATGACTCTAATGCTGATAGTAGCTTTTAAAAAGAAAGATAATTCAAAACCTTACTGTGCTTGCTGTGTTGTTCAAAGTATGACCTATTTAAAAGCCATGTATAATAATGAAGCTGCAGGGAGAGAGAATTTACACAAATGCATGCCAAATTTTTATTAAAGCTGAAGCAAAATATTAAGAAAATATACTTCCTAATGCATAATAATAGCACCAAGGCAGGCGTGGGCAACCGACGACCCACCAGGTGTTTTTGACTTCAGCTCTCAGAATTCCTGGTCATTGGAACAGTTGCCTAGGGCTTCTGGGATTTGGAGGCCCAAACACCTGGAGTGCCATAGGTTGTGCTGGCCAATAGTAAGGGATCACAAATGTGCCATATTTGATATCAATTCCTGGCTGTTAAGTAACAAACCTTTGAAGCTCTCTTCACTCCCTTCCCAAGGGGTACTGGGGTCCTTGATAAAGCTGAGATCTCTTTGTGTGTCTAAATTTTGTGTCCTAATGTGATTGATCGACAGCTAGGTTTCTTTTGGACAGGTACATAATGTAAGCAGTGATAATAAATGATGGGTCCTCTATAAATCTGTGGTTATGTCATACTTAAAAAAAACCTGCCTATCAACTACTTTGTGTTTGTCATATAAAATATTAGCACTGTAAATGATCCCCTGATAACAAGACTTTCTTGAAGGGTACAATTTTTATCAATATTAAATTGGTTTTTAAAGATACCTCCACCTTCTTTAACAGTGTTTCCTTCTGAATGTGGGACAGCTATTTTAGAATGCTGCCATAGAATCAAAAAATAATATATTGTTTCTCTGAAACACGATATGACTTTTTTATGCATAACTGATCCATGTTTTTATTGCTGTAGTTATAGCTGGTGCAAATGTCTGTTATTTTCAGTGAACACAGTTTTATGAAATGGAGTTCCAAGGTCTGCCTGTAGAGAGTTATTATGGGAGAGGACAACAATCAATGCTAGATTTTCTTTGAAAAGCTGTGACTATTTTGTATGGCTGGAATGCTGTATGGAAAGAAATGTAATTTGAATGAGATTTAATTGTAAAAACTTGAAGACACTTTTCAAAATTAAGAACTGAAAAGATGTTTTGTATGCTGTGATGACATGTTTTTTAAATGTCTTGATTACTTTATTTGTTATAATGACTTGTTATAAATTATTGGTTCAATTCTTTTTTTTTAAAAGAATGTAATTGATATTTGAAATAGTGTTTATATTTTCCATGGAACAGTATGATTGTTGCACACTGTGGAAGAAAATATTAGGGAGAATAACAACTTCATCTGGACATGAAAGAGAATGGTATATATTTCTATGACCCTTTCTTTGTTGTTGTTCATTCGTTCAGTCATTTCCGACTCTTCGTGACCTCATGGACCAGCCCACGACAGAGCTCCCTGTCAGTTTTCACCCCCCCCCCAGCTCCTGTAGAGTCAAGCCAGTCACTTCAAGGATGCCATCCATCCATCTTGCCCTTGGTCAGTCCCTCTTCCTTTTTCTTCCATTTTCTCCAGCATAATTGTGTTCTCTAAGGTTTCCTGTCTCCTCATGGTGTGATGGCCCTTTCTACACTGCTCTATATCACAGGATCTGATCCCACATTATCTGCTTTGGACTGAATTATATGAGTCTACACTGCCAGATAATCTGGAATAAGCAGTTAATCTGGGATCAGATCCTGGGATATAGGGCAGTGTAGAAGAGGCTTATGACTATATGTCTGGCTAAAATAACTTTAAAGGTTTTAACTTTAACAAGGCTTCCGCTAGTGATTTGAACATTCAGTCTAGGCCTTTCATGAGAAAGCCTATGAGATATTGACTTCTTATTCCCTAAATGCATGTTAGACATAATTTTCTTTGAAACATTGCATAAAATTTACAATCTAACTTTCACCGCAACTGGAAAAGTACAAAGAGAAATCCCGTTGTTGTTATTGTTGTTGTTGTTGTTGTTGTTGTTGTTGTTGTTGTTATATTTATTTTTACCCCGCTTTATCTCTCCCAAAGGAGACACAAAGCGGCTTAACATAAAAACATTAGCAAACAATTTAAAATATATGAATATGCAAACATAAAAACAGAATTAAATATAAGTAGTATTTTAAAATTCACAGTTAAAATCAATTAAAACATATTCAAAGTTAATAATATCCCCGTTAGATTTGGGGAATACATTTTCTGTGGCTTGAACCATGTAAGTCAGTGGTTCTCAACCTGTGGGTCCCCAGATATTTTGGCCTACAACTCCCAGAAATCACAGGAATTCTGGGAATTGAAGGCCAAAACATTTGGGGACCCACAGGTTGAGAACCACTGAATTGTAGGGTCATCATAATTTAAACTTGTTGATTTTATTAGGATTCTTAGTATTGCTTTAGTTCTGACTGTTGTTATTCAGCTGCTTCCAAAAAGAAGTGGCTGATGAATGGAGAATACCACAATCTATTGCCTCCAACAAACCACTCTTTCCTTTCTTTCATCAATGTGTGTCATCAAAAACAAGTCTACAAACTCTTCAGGACAACCGTCTTTGTATATAAGTTAATATATACCTTTTAAGTGCTCTTTTTTAAAGTTAAAGTTGCTAGGTCAATGTTTTTTTCTAAAATAATTGTGTTTTAATATTACCTGGTACTACAATAATATTGTTGTGTATATGATCTCCTGCAAGTTTCACTTCCTTTAGAAGACTCCATCCTGAAGGTTGTTATTACATTTAACAGAACAAGCAAAAATGGGGGCGTAGTGCATGTAGTTGAGGAAAAAACAAGTTTTTAAAATGCTGCTTTTCTTCCTCCCTCTCAATTACTGATTAATCCTCTTCATTATTTTGCAAGTCTTTCGTTATGTCAACAAAACTAAGAATATATTAATTAAACTAAATAATAGGATATGCGGCTGCTTGAAAGTTTTGTTAATTGAGGAGGATCTTCTTATATAGGACAAACAGTGCATGACAGAAAATGTCTTTGTTCCCATGTCCTTTACTAGGTACCCAGAACCTTATACAGCCTACTTTCTACAAGGCAGTGATCCAGAATTTGTTGTATGGCCTCAGGCTGGTGAATTGCTCCCACTTGACACACCAGGCACCTGTATAACTGTTGGATTCAAGCCCAGTATGTACAGCAAGAAACATAAAGCAACATTAGTAATACAGGTAAAACATTGTGATTCTTGATAGCCTGCTTCACTATAGTAAGTTTGTAGACTTACAGATACCCAGTCTTAAATACTATAAAGGTTTTTTTCCTAGTAAAACTGACCAGTTTTCCTATAAGAAAGCATCTAACATAAGGCATATCTGCATGGATGCTTAACCCCGAAAGAGGAGAAGCCCAGTCAGCTTTACATGATGCACAGAGCTGATTCGGATTAACGTGGGCCAAGGCTACTTAATACAGTCTTGAACCATGCTAAGAAAAGTTGTGGATTGCTCTGGAGTTTACTTATATAAACAGCTGGAGCAGTTCCAATCCAAAAGCAGGCATGTACAGTTTGCATGGCTCTCCCAAATTTCTTGGCCTTTTTTCTCATCGTAGCAGTGACCACCAGCTGTGAAATGGCTGTTGACTATCACTCATCAAATGGAGGGATCTTGGCCAGGGCGCAAGGGCAATCAGGGAAGGGAGGAGGGAAAAGAGGGGGCAATTTCTTCCTCTGCTTTCCTCTGCCACGTTGCTCTGGCACTCCAGCCAACATCACTCCAGTTGACAAATGACAGCCACTGGGTATTTCATGGCTCATTGCCACTACGACGGGAACGAAAGGAGGATGGTAAGGGGGGAATATATGCAGATTTCAGGTTGAATTAATGCTATTTATTTATTCATTTATTTATTTATTTCAAATATTTAAATCCCGTCTTTCTCAACCCCCACTCTCCCCCCCCCCCCGAGGGGGAGGGCTCAGGGCGACTAACAACCAGCAACTATTAGATGCCAACAACAAAATAAAGCAAAAGCAATATAATCACAGATTAAACATTAGATAAAACATTAAATTATAAAATAGGCATTAAAAAAGATTATAAATACAACCAAGTCCAAATCTAACTCAGTGTTCAGAGTCCCAGTCTGAGGCACTACTTTAACTGCTATGGTGCAATACTGTGGATTTATGGGAGATGTACTTCTACAAGGTGTTATCTACTAGTGTTGGTGCCTCATCAAACTACAAACCCTGGTAAAAAGAAATACTCATATTTTAATGCATGTGCATTGTTTACATACAGTAAATAAATACAAATAAAATAAAATATAACATAGATATGCCTGATCATGTTAATACTGGTGATCCAATTAAACATGAATTATTAGTATTCTCTTCCTATAGTTCTTCATGTATTACCTGGAAATGTGATTGTGTGAATTCACCATCATGCTGGTGCTACCTCACCAGGACAATGGAACAACCATCTGAAGTTTTCAGGGGTTTTCTCATATACACCCCAGGCATTTTTGGGCTACACAGGGTTTTTGCATTGGAAAAGGATGTCCCCTTTCTGATTTCATTGTATTCCACTATTCTGCCCAGTTGCACAAATCTAACCTTGATAGCTTTTTTGGCAGGAAAGATCTGTTATAAACCAGAACCAGTACTGCTCAGTGACTACCCACTTGGTTGTCAAACATTGCAGTAAAATACAGATATTGTTTCAATACTACCATAACAATTTTAGCTTATACCGCCATAAAAGGACCTTTGTTGTTATTGTGTGTTTGTATGTATGCATGTGTGCGTGTGTGTGTGTGTTCAAAGCTGGTTTTAGTATTTTGCCCATAGCCTCTATAGCGAAATTAAAGGCTGTCTGAGGCAGGGGGGACAAACAATCAATCCCACCGCTGCCACCAATATAACGTGATTAAGGCTGACCCTAAGTTGAATGTGTCAATGACCGAATGTTCTTGGTAGTATAAGCCGCCACCACCTCAGAATTATTGGCCTGAGGAACCAAAGGTGTGAATGTGTTGTAGGTAAGGTGTGTTTGAGCTCTTGGTTCTTCTATTGCTTCTTCACTGGATGACTGGACTTTAAAATGGGTTTGACAGACTTGGTTCTGAGGAGATTGATAGACTGAGGCATACACCAGTTAAAAGTGAACTAAGAGTTTATTGAACTTTATATTAACAACAACTCATAGAAATGAGTGGTACAGAAGCGTGATTCAGTTGCAGAAACTTGGTTACTTAAACAAATAGATCCCCTGACAGAAAAGCTTTTAACAACTGTGAGACTCCTTAAACATACTGTTCTATCTTTAGACACAGTATCAGTTGAGAACAGACTCCTGTCTGCACAGGGCAATAAGCTCCCCTATACTGTCCCTAGTATAAGGAGACAAATCTTCCTTTTACTGGCCCTAACAACACAGTAAAAATCCTAGCCTTTGTCTCAGCTTATTCCCTAAACTTAAGGCTCACTAAAAGCTCTTCCTTTTCTGTCAGATCCCTGCTCTATCTCTTGCCAAAAACACTTCTCTCCCTGTCTGATCTCAAGACACTACTCCCTCTCTGTCAAAAGCTGACAGCTTATTTTCCCTCTCACAACCGACTCCTCCCCCAATTGCTATACCCAATCAGGAGTCGGCTTGACTCCTCCTCCTGTTCTGCCTGCCTTCCAAGATGACAGCCACTGTCATGCAGGCTTCGGCCTTGTCGTCTCAAAGGTAGATTTCATGACATCCCTCCCCGCCTTAAGACCTTTCTGTAAGATTTCAGATTTTTAATCTAAAGCTGCAAGAAAGGGTTTCTCATGAAGAGACCTCATTCTTAACTAACTCCCTTTTCTTGCACCTATCTAACCCACTAACCTAATCTAAACTAAGGCAAGGGCATTCTGTCTACCTACCTATCTAAACCTTGCATACATAAACTTACTCTAACATTCCTATCTAACAGGTTCCCAATCCTAACTAACATTACATTGCATGCTAAACAACAATTGCAAACCCTACATACATTCTATGCATTTTACCTAAGCAAACCTGCAATGCAAAATAATAGTTAGTACATTTCCATAAACCTGTAAGAGAAAACATGTTAAAACACAATACATTACCTTATACAATATACTCTATAATGCAATATTCTATACCATTACCTGTACAATTATATCAACCTTGACAATGTGTCTGCGACCACATTTTGGGTTCCCTTGATGTGTCTAACCTCAAAATCATAGTCTTGCAGGGCTAAACTCCACCGAATCAGCTTACTGTTGGTGCCTTTCACCTGGTGCAACCATTTTAGGGGTGAATGATCAGTACATAAAACAAATTTCTTCCCCCACAAATAAGGTTTAAGCTTAGCGGTTGCCCAAATAATATCCAAGCACTCTTTCTCAATTACAGAAAGATGTTGCTCTCTCTCTATGAGCTTACGGCTCAAGTATAGCACCGGTTGGGAATTTCCTTGGTTGTCTTCCTGGCTAAGGACCGCTCCTAGCCCTACATTTGACGCATCGGTGGTGAGGATGAAAGGTCTCTTAAAGTCTGGAGCTCTCAACACAGGGGCTGTTGTTAGGGCTCCCTTCAACCTCTCAAAAGCTACCTCACATCCCTGGGACCACTCCAACTTATCAGGTCGACCCTTCTTGGTTTCATCCGTCAACACAGCTGCTAAAGTGCTGAACTCCTGGATGAACCTTTGGTAAAATCCTACCACTCCCAAGAACGACCTAAGCTGTTTCTTGGTGTGGGGTCTGGGGCACTCTCTAATGGCTTGGACTTTGTCTATGTCGGGTATGATGGTACCTCCTCCCACCAAGTGACCTAGGTATTTCACCTGAGGTCTGGCCATCTGGCATTTCGATGCCTTGACTGTGAGACCAGCCTCCTGTACCTTTTTCAAGACCATCTCTAGGTGTTGCAGGTGTCCCTCCCAGGTCGCACTAAATATTGCCAGGTCGTCAATGTAAGCCTGGACAAACCCTCGCATGCCTACTAGCATTCTGTCAATCAGCCGTTGGAATGTGGCTGCTGCATTTTTTAGTCCAAAAGCAAGCCGGGTCCATTGGAATAACCCATCCCTGGTTATGAAAGCAGTCTTTTCTATGTCCAAGGGATGCATTTCCACCTGCCAGTACCCTTTTGTTAAATCTAGGGTGGAGATATACCTAGCAGCGCCTATGGTTTCGATTAACTCGTCGATCCTGGCCATGGAGTACACATCTGATGTTGTGACCTGGTTCAATTTCCTATAGTCTACGCAGAACCTGATGGAGTTGTCTGGTTTGGGCACCAAGACTACTGGGGATGCCCAAGGACTAATAGAAGGTTCTATTAACCTCAATGTAAGCATCTCCTGAATCTCTTGTGTTATCACCTGCGCCTGTTCACCGGTCACTCTATATGGGGATGATGACACGGGTTTGGCGTCCCCAGTGTCAATCTTATGACAAGTTAAGTTTGTTCTCCCTGGAACATTGGAGAACACACCCTTAAACCTATGCAACAGCTCCCCTAGCTGTACCTTCTGCGCAGCTGTTAAGTGTTCGTTTCCCTCCACAACTGGCAAAGAGTCATCTACACATATTTTCCCCCATCCCGCCAGAGTCAGATTTCCCTCATTCTCTGCGGAACGCTTTAACACAAAGTTAGTTCTAAGAAAATATGGTTTAAGTCTATTGATGTGCAGCTTCTTGCACCTCTGGTCTCCTCCATCTTCTCTGACTACGTAAGTCACCTCAGAGTCTTTGGAAACAACGGAAAATGGTCCTTCCCAAGCCACATCTAACTTCTTCTTGGTTCTGGGCTTTAAGACCAACACTTTGTCTCCGACGGCAAAGCTTCTGTGCCTAGCTTTAGAGTCAGCATAGTCCTTCTGTCGGCTTTGAGCTGCTGACAAGCTCTCAGCGGCACAGTCCCGGATCAAAGTCAAATGTCTCTGAAGGTCTTCGATGTACTCGACCACGTCCTTCTCAGGAATCTCCTCACGTCCAATCCACGCCTCTCTCACGATGTCCAGAGGTCCACGCAAGGTTCGGCCATACAGCAGTTGGAACGGGCTGTATCCGGTACTCTCTTGTGGTACCTCACGATAGGCAAACAGGAAATGCTGGATTCTTCTGTCCCAATCGTTGGGGTTACGATGTACATAGGTTCTCAGCATGTGGTTCAACGTCGCGTTGAACCTCTCCGTCAGGCCATTCGACTGTGGA